ATTTGACATTGCTGAAAGCACAACCTATACAATTATTATTCATTGCTTAACAGAAATTAATAATTTGTCAGGAAACTTTATACAATGGCCTACAAACCATAAGGCACAAACCGTTGTACAAAAATTGAATAGTTTAAGAGGAGAACATTCTTTTCCCGGTGTTTTTGGTGCCATTTACGGATGTCATATTTCGATTCTTGCTACATGGGAGAAGAGAACAAAAATGACGTACGTTTGGCCAGCCCCCCCCCCCCCCCAATGGAAAATCCATAAATGAATTGCGCCGATATTTAGCACGTAATTCGCACGTATTCGCACGCCAAGTTTTGAAATTCGCACGACTCTCCTTCCCCCTCAAAAATCAAAATCCATGGGGGGGGCCAGCAACACGTCTTGCCAGCCCCCCCCCCATAGTTTAAATCAACATTTTCGCAATTTTTTTTTTGCAGATATTTAGCACGTGATTCGCACGTATTCGCACGCCTAGTTTTGAAATTCGCACGCAATTCACATCATTTTTTTAAAACTATAATCTGAACTTTGCCGGCTACTTAGTACTTACCCATTTGTTTTCAAATTATTATTTTTCTTTTTACAATTTAAATATTTTAAATTTTTTCGCAGGTTTCTAACAGATTTGTTGTAGTTTGATAGTTTTTAAATATTAAGGTATTTCAAATTACATTTTAAAAAATATATTACATTAAAGGTTACTGCTGGGTAGCTAATCCCCAGTCTTCTCACGTTTTCACAGACAACTTTTATATTTTTCCACTCATCTGCTCATTGTAACTATCATTACAGATTTTGTATATTCAAATAAATGTTAAAAAAAGGTGGGTAAGTGGATGTCGGTCTGCTGTACTGTAGGTTACAAGTGGGTCACTGTATAATGGATGGTATTAAATTTGAATTCAATGATTGTTATTGAATGATTGAAGTTATTTTGAGAACCATGGGTCAAATGATAAAGTGTCAAAGTCTTAATGATATAAGAAGTATACTACTCTCCCTTTTTATTGTCATAACCAGTGAAACTGATGGTCTTAATAAAGTCACAGGAATAGAAACACCATGCGAAATGCATAAAAAAAAATTGGTCAGTTATGCATCATCAGGTAATTTAAAATGAATGTGTACTTAATTAGTATTTGATCTGATATTTAGCCAATATTATATTATATTATAAAGACAGAAATTTGGGTTTTCCTCGTTTCAATCAATTGAAACAAAAAAAAAAATAATAAAAATAAAGAATATTTGAATTAATGAAGTCTAATCATTAAGGTCAATCTGGGACTTTTAAAAGTTAAAATTTATTTTTAGATTGTGAGTAGAGTGAAGAAATAAATTGATTTTACAATGATGTGTGCTTTTCTTTTTTTTTGTGTGTGTCTGTGAACACCGTTTGGGGCAGTAGAACTACTTCTGTTTTCAACAATAGTATCTTGTTCGATGGGAAAGAGCATCTAGTTGATGCTTCGGGAACTAAAATGCCCAAAAGTATTCAAAAGCGCAGGGAAAATTAAGGAAAAAAAACGAACTTTTACGCGAAATCGGTTTTGACACAACAACGTTTATGGTTTTGGTGTAACTCGAAAACAAAATTACCGTAGAATACATGAATACACGAATTTTCACTGGTTGTTTATATTAGCATTTCTATACATGGTAACATTTTTTAAATATTTGGTTTGTTTTGAACAGTTTACGGACATTTTCAGTTCGATTTTTTTCTAAAAATCCTAAGTTGTCTGGTTGGCTATATAGACTTATTTATAATTGTTTCTAATGTCTGTCTGTACCAATACATTTTATTCTTAATTGTCAAATATATTAATATGAGTTTGATAATTTAAGGAATCATAGATGACGCTGAATATGAGGATACAAGTTGTGAAGAAAGAGAGTTATTAGAAAAAGAGCATGACAATTGTATAGAAGGATTTCTTGATTACAACAATCCATTCCAGAAATGGGGTGAAAATATTTACGAAAATAGCAAACAACTGTTACATGAAGGAACGGGCATTAATGCCATGTATTTACCAACGCTGGTGTCTCCTATAATTAAGTGTATAAAACTTTTACCATTATGGTCTGGTGTTATGGTGCCAGTTTTTGGCTACGGGGAAGAGATTTCTAGCTCTGCAGCTATTGAATCAAGTTTTAGAAAGCTTAAAACAATTACATTTAAGCATATACCTCTACCTACTAGTATTGAGAGTTTTTGGAAAATCACATATCATCGAATCGAGGAGCTTCGTTAATTCATTCAGCAACTAATCTAAATCAATCAGTTACTTCCAGCTCAACTAATCAAAATACTGTGAAATATTTTCAGAGAAAGTCCATGCGAAATAATGATGAATTTTGTGATATGGATGAAGATGACTTTTTAGTAGTTCCAAAAAAATTATGTCCTTTATGTAATGCTGGTTCTCTTCCGTTGAAAAGTGGGGCACATAAATGTTGCATTTGTGGAGTTCCTGTCCATGCACTTTCTACTTGTTCAAATAAAAGATTAGAAAATGATGAATTAAGAGTTTGTTTTGTTTGCTCATTAGAAGATAACATTACTGAGGAGAACAGGGCATGTGAATCTTGGGATCGAAAAAATCTAAAAATAAAGCAAAGTAATTCTTATCTTATTCCAAATCCTCATCTCAAACACATTGACCTGAATAACTCTAAAAATATTAAAAATTTACCTATTATTAAAAATGGATCACGCGCAGAAGAGTTAAAAGGTTGTAAATCAAGTTACATGGATGGAAACATTGTATTAACAAATACATGTGCATTTGATGCATTAGCTTCATTAATAATGGTATATATTTTTTGTTACTTATTCAACTCAATTAAAAAGTATTGTCTATATTAAATTGATTTTATATATTTTAGGTTTCATACTGTGACAGCAATAAATATTCAACAAAGATTGATTTCAATCATAACGAGTTTTTGAACTTTATTTCCAAAATTGTAAAAAACGGAATTACATCGGCAACTTACTCTGAACGTGCAGATTTAATTATAAATAAAACTAAACCTGAAATGCAGCAGTTGCAATATGGTACCATGTTAGTTTGCTGTGATACCACTATTACCAATGTAGTTAATTCAATGTTCAAAGAGTTCCCGTCAGTAACAGAAAAAACAACATGCTCTTCAAACTGTCAATTAACTACGAATTCTTTAAAACTGAAGATTTATTTATCGTATCAGACGGAAAATGGACAAATAAAAGACTTGCAAGGTTTTCTCGATAGTCAACTTAAATCTGTACAATCAACATGTCAATACATGGATTCAGAAATTGTTTGTAAGGGAGTTGAAGAAATTATGCCGAATATATCAGATATGCATTTATTTATCGATGTATTTTATTGGGAAGGTATATTGTTTATCATAACAGTATAATTTATTAATTATTAAATAATAATCTAATATTGAATATTTTTAAAAAGTATAATATAAAATAAATGGAACTTTTTCAGATGGACTTGTTTCTAACAATCGTAGTTCGGAAACCACAGAACAAGTGAAAATGCGACTGTCTGATATCCCAACACTTTTGGTCTACAACGACATTACATATGAGCTAGGGGAGTTATTAGTTTTCAACCGGCACAATCAAAGTTAAGGACATCATCAGGACATTATAATGCATACGCTATTCGGGGAACTAAGAATTGGCAATTGTTTGATGACCTCAAGAAAAAACCCACTCCTATAAAAGAAAATAAAAAAATATCAATTGAACTACTCGTATACACTATTTAAGTATTAGTAACTATTTAAAGTATTACTTTTTTATATTATTTTAATACATTGAATCATATTATATTTTAACATTTATTTGAATATACAAAATCTGTAATGATAGTTACAATGAGCAGATGAGTGGAAAAATATAAAAGTTGTCTGTGAAAACGTGAGAAGACTGGGGATTAGCTACCCAGCAGTAACCTTTAATGTAATATATTTTTTAAAATGTAATTTGAAATACCTTAATATTTAAAAACTATCAAACTACAACAAATCTGTTAGAAACCTGCGAAAAAATTTAAAATATTTAAATTGTAAAAAGAAAAATAATAATTTGAAAACAAATGGGTAAGTACTAAGTAGCCGGCAAAGTTCAGATTATAGTTTTAAAAAAATGATGTGAATTGCGTGCTAAATATTTTCAGAAAAAAATTGAGGAATTTCTGGCAAAACGCCCCCCATGGATTTTGATTTTTGAGGGGGAAGGAGGGTCGTGCGAATTTCAAAACTAGGCGTGCGAATACGTGCGAATCACGTGCTAAATATCTGCAAAAAAAAAATTGCGAAAATGTTGATTTAAACTATGGGGGGCTGGCAAGACGTGTTGCTGGCCCCCCCCCATGGATTTTGATTTTTGAGGGGGAAGGAGAGTCGTGCGAATTTCAAAACTAGGTGTGCGAATACGTGCGAATCACGTGCTAAATATCTGCAAAAAAAAAAATTGCGAAAATGTTGATTTAAACTATGGGGGGCTGGCAAGACGTGTTGCTGGCCCCCCCCATGGATTTTGATTTTTGAGGGGGAAGGAGAGTCGTGCGAATTTCAAAACTAGGCGTGCGAATACGTGCGAATCACGTGCTAAATATCTGCAAAAAAAAAATTGCGAAAATGTTGATTTAAACTATGGGGGGGGCTGGCAAGACGTGTTGCTGGCCCCCCCCCATGGATTTTGATTTTTGAGGGGGAAGGAGAGTCGTGCGAATTTCAAAACTAGGCGTGCGAATACGTGCGAATTACGTGCTAAATATCGGCGCAATTCATTTATGGATTTTCCATTGCGGGGGGCTGGCCAAACGTACGTACAAAAATGCCCAAGTTAAATAGAACTATGTTCTATAATCGAAAACAAGTTCCTATCGTCTTGCTACAAGTGAGAGAAAATTAATTAAGTATTTTACTAAATTATATTAAATCATTGAATTATAACATACTTTTGATGTATAAACACTATGTTATTCCAGGGCATTGTTGACAGTGATTTAAAATTAATTGATTGTTTTGCTGGTTGGCCAGGTTCATCACACGATGCAAGAGTATTTAGACGTAGTATAATTGGTGAAAAACTATTAAGCCAACCTTGTGTAATATTACCACCAGGGTGTCATATTTTGGGTGATGGCGCATATCCACTAACCAGTACTTTGATGGTTCCATTTAAGGATAATGGACATCTAAGTGATAATCAATTAAAATTTAACAAGTGTCTCAGTAGTTCCAGAGTAGTGATTGAACAAGCATTTGGAAAATTAATCGGAGATTTCGAAACTGAAGTATTTTATTATAATAACATGAATAGCATAAATTAAGCTAACTAATATATTTTTTTAAGGCACATGTATATATATCATAAAGAAAATTGTAGTTAAGTTATCACTGCAGCATGTTGTTTACACAATTTATGCATTGATAACTCCGATGATTTCAATTTAACAGAGACCTACACATCTGAGATGGAGGATGGTAACCACCATGAAGATGATAGTTTAAGTGGAAATGTCAAGAGACAAGAATTATGTCAACAGCTGTCTTTGATTTTATAATATTAAAACATTTAACATTTTATTTATAAACAAAATATATATTATACATAATTAAACTTTAACTGTAGTTTAATACTATTTTTATAAAATAACTCTTTCAAGTTTAACAGTTTTAGGAGATCACACTTTTTCCTTTAGTAACTAATAACCTTAAAGTTAATTACAAACAGTTTTATAATGATCAGGTGTTAAAACATTTTAATTAAAAACAAAACATATTATAATATACCCAAAACTTTTTCCAATTTAACAGTTTTAGGAGATCACACTTATTCCTTTAGTAACTAATAACCTTAAAATTAATTACAAACAGTTTTATAATGATCAGGTGTTAAAACATTTTAATTAAAAACAAAACATATTATAATATACACATAATTCAATTTTAGCAGTACTTTAATACTATTTTTATAAATAAACTTTTTCAAATTTAACAGTTTTAGGAGATCACACTTATTCCTTTCGTAACTAATAAGTAATAACCTTATAACCTTATACTTAATTTAAAACAGTTGTGAAACCGGCATTTGTAAATCATTTTTTTTTCATAACTGTAACGTGCCAACCACTTCAACTCAGTTCTGATGGTATTTTGAATTAAATAACAAGTTGATTTTATAATGATAGTTCAGTTGTATTTATTTAACACATAAAATAGACTAAGTCCAAATAATTAAATTATAAAAATGTGGTAAACGGGATGTGACTTAGTACCTATCGACTTTGTGGCTGCTCTGCTGGTGCTCGTCTTCTCGGCTGGTGTTCGTCTGATGGACACTTGTCCATCGACGTATTTCGTCGGTATTTCTAATAGATCCCTCCTATGGCATTTTAGTATAAAAATAGTACACGCGCCGCATCTGCCTGAGGTCATTTCTGACGTCTTTTACGAAAAATGATGTTAATTACGGATTATATGTTTCCAAAGTTATCTATTTGTGCTGTTTACGGCTTTTTCGTCTTTCCTAGAATATGGAAATTGCGCGCGTATACTTATCACGTGTTCGCGCTGTACCATTAATTAGTTCTTATTGATATGGCCGCTCGGATGCTGATATTATTACTATTATCGGGGTTACGTGCTCCCTGTAGCATCTATGTCTATTATTGAACATAATATATATATTATAATCGTACTTTACCTAATACAATAAAATATTTTATATATTATTACTATTATTAATATATACGTAGTCACAGCCCGTTACAGAACTAATGGTTGTTATTGTTTATTGAACATCTGTTTAAAAACTTCTAACTTTTGAAGTTCAATATTATTAGCTTCTTCAAGTTTGGAAACAAGATGCCTTTGAATCGCTATCATTTCTTCCTCTCTTTTTTCCATTTTATCTAGGCTATTTAATATGAAAAATTACTAAATTATGAAAATAAAATTATATACCGGTTATGTAATTCGTTTGCATTCCTCAAAGCTAAATTTGTTTGTTCTGTTTTCTGTACATGGTACTTTTGGAACCATCCTGGGGATTTTCCTTTGACCGACCTCAATGGTAGAATTTCAGGGGAGGATTTTGGTGTAGTTGATGGTAGTTCTGCATACCGTGGTGAAATAGCTACAGATGTTGAAGCGTTAAGTTGTCTAGTAGGTGTTGATTCTACATGCTGTGATAAAGTTTCTTCACAAGTTTATGACTCTTTTAATATGTCTGGAAATTAAGCAAGGAATAAATAAAATAAGAAACTAAACTATTCCTGAACATAAATGAATAAATCATTTTTTGTTTTTACTTCTAGAAGGCGACATAGCTTGTTTTTTTTAACAATTGGCTCTGTTGCTTCCTCTATTAGCTTATAGAATTTCCATTTAATGGCACTACCACCAGTTTTTTTACTTGCATCATGCACCTTTCGAAACTGGTTTAGCAATCCTCTCCACTTATCTTCACAATTAGTAGCTGTAAAGTGTGTGTAGCCCTGTTTATGCAAAACTTTTGCTATTTTTTCCCACAGTTTGTTCTTTTGTCCCTTTTTTTTGGCATACATAAATTCTTTGCTGAGCTTGGTACGTTCAGCTATTAGCTGCTTTATGACTTGTTCAGTCCATATACCTATACCAAAAAACATTAAAAACATTTATATACATAGTATGGTTAATGGTACTATGGTACACCTAATGTATAGGCAAAAGACAATTTAAAACCCAATGTTGTGTATATGCTAACCCCCGAACAATAGTTTTACAATGTCCCACCAGATTGTTTTGAAGGTTTCTTTTGTTCAGTAAACAATACAATATTCTCTTCCCCATCTTCATAATTGTTTGTCTAATTATAAATACTATTATACTCCATACTATCATCTTCAACATCACTGACTTCAAATTCTATATTAAAAGTTAAACAAACAAATTTACTAAACATGCTTATTTTGGATAAAAAATAACAGTTCTAATCCAAAAAAAATTGGTCTATCATTAAATAAGCAACACACCAAAATGTGTCGAATTTAAAAGAAATAAATTTAAAAATAAATAATATAATCTACGACTCCAGATCAAATGCATCCATAATTACGAAGAAATTGAACGATTTCTTTTTAACTATGGGTGATCACAACTATAAAAGGCCTAATAAGGAAAATGAATATAGTACCGATGTCCCTTCATGTTCATTGTATCTGAGAAAGATCACTAAAACTGAATTATACAAAATTATAACTGACATGAATAACGATTCAGCTCCAGGTTCAGACAGTATTTCAATTAATGTTATTAAAAATCTTAGACTTTATATCTGACATATTAAAAAAAATTTTCAATCAAATAAAAAAAGTGAATCTGATATTGCAGTATTCGATAACTGGTTTTCTAATAATGATCTTAAAATGCATTGCATTTACTAATAATTCTAGAACTGCACCGAATAAAACAGAATTGATCATACATAAAGCTGATTGCAACACTGTCATGTTCCTGCCCAAAATAAACTAGACACACATCTGTTAAATATCTTCTGATATTAATTGATCAAAATTTAAAATGGAATATTCACATAGAAAATCTAATAAATAAAATAAGACAACCAACTTACATTTTCCTTACAGCTAAAACAATACTAAACAAAAACTACTTAAGAATAACATACTTTGCAATGATTCAATCTTTAATACAATAGGCTATAATCGCTTGGGGAGGTTGCAGCACTGCATTAAAACATAAGTTATGAATTGCACAAAAAATATAATAAAAATTATCTTAAGTAAACCAAAAACGTTCCCTTAAAAAGAACTATTCAAACTATTACGAGTACTAGAAATTGAAAATCTATATAAAAAGCAAGCGATGTTTTATTTATAAAACTAAAGCATTTAAAATTAAAAACAATCCTCATAATCTTAGAAAACAATATTTAGAAATTCCATTTACTAACACCAAGAAAGCTTCTAATATATGCATGCAAGTTGGTCTAAAGTCATTAGAGATCATCTCTGATGAATTGAGAAAGTGTTAAAATTATTCGCTTTTTAAATTTAAACTAAAAAAATGGTTTTATGATAATCTTTTAAAGTATTGTATAATTCAAAACTATTAATAATTTATTATTTATGAGAAATATTATATTTAAAAACCTATTTTATTAAACAGCTTAATTATTAAAATTTATTTTTTCAATGTTTAATTATTTTATAAATCATGATTGTTACTAATTTTACTATACTCATAAGTTATATTGTATTCCTTATAATAAATCATATCAAATCGTGAATTTTTATTTCTTTATTTTAAATTTAATATAATTTATAATAACATCTACCTAGATTAGTATTCTTGCACTACGAGAAGAGGTAATACCTCAGTGTAACAGTGCAATATACAGTGAAACAGTATATCAGTGAAACAGATGCAATATACAAAAATTTTGATAAAAATACAAATAGAGTTAGATCCAGTGGAGGTACCAAATATGTACAATTGATTAGTCCTATTTGGAGAAAAATTCAAAAAGAAAAAACACCAACAACACCAACAGAAAATTTAAATTCTACAATACCAGATTTTCCTACAATACTAACAACAGAAATTTTAAAACCATTAAAACCAACAACAGAAATTTTAAAACCTACAAAAGCAACAGAAATTTTAAAACCTACAAAAGCAACAGAGAATAAAGCAGCTGGTTTAATGAATTATACAAATAATGAAATTGAATATCGTTGGATAGATAATATGAAACAATTAAATGAAAGATTACATTTAATAGCAGCTGAACAAAAAGCAGGAAATTATACTTATCATAATGAACTACATGGGATTCTTAAATTATTTAAAACAAAAATGGAACATTTAATAGATGATTTTAAAGGTATTGAATATTTACTACAATATGTGATAAATTTACCAAAAGAAATAACAAATGACATACATATAAAAAAATTAAGACAACAAATACATTATATATCTAGTGAAGAAAGAGTAGGAAATAATTATTATCATAATAAAAAACTTGAAATACTTAATTTTTGTATTAAAATAATGGAAAAAGGAATTGATATTCCCGATAAAGGTCCGATATATTTATGGTCATTTATTTCAAGTTTACCAAAGAAAATTATAAAAGGTGCAGGCTTTTTTAATGATTTTTTAAATTGTAAATATTTACCTCCGATGCATTATCCTAAATATAAATATTTAGGACTATACAGATTTAGAGAAAAATGAAGAACAAAATATACAACCAATCAACAAATTAGACGAAGCGGCAAGAGAACATGATTATTTTTACAAAAATCATAAAGACATTAAATCA